TCGCCCCGGCCCCCGCCGATGGATTGCAGCCCCTTGCCTGGGATGGGTTTACGCTGCTGTGCGCCGAGGTCCCGCCCCCTTGTTTTCTGCTTAGCGTTTGGGTAGGACTTTGAAATTAGGAAAGAGGGTGAGCGTTTCCGGTGGCTCTCCTCGGGGAAGGGAGGTTGGGCGTTTCAGGAGGTGATGACTGCTCCTCGGGGTCCGAGGAAGGAAAGGGGGAGGCAAGGGGCAGGGATGGTCCAGAAGGTTGAGAACGGAAGGGAGAGGGAGGCGTGAGAGAATGGGGAGGCGCGGAGGAGAGCACGGGGTCCTGAGGGTGGGCAGTCCATTCACTCACTTGCCCACTGTGAGCGGAAACAGTGGTGCATGGAAGACACAGTCCTGGACCTGGTGGAGCTTAAAGGGAAGGAGGGTAGCCTGGCAGGCAGCGGGGAGCGGCACGTTGGTGTGATCGATGCTGCTGGAGCGAGTGCGTAACTTTTTGGGAGCTCTGGGGAGGGTCTCCCCTAAGTCCGGAGGGATTTGTTGGCAAAGGAAGTGATGTGTAAGCTAAGGACCTGAAGGAGGAGAAGGAGTCAACCGGTAAACCGTGGGAGAAACGTATTTCAGGACATCGGTTCTCTTAGGACCCCCGGCTGCCTCCCTTCAGCTTGGTCTTTACGGTTTATACTCTCGATGGGTCAGTGGGACAGAGGACATTAGAGCAGTGGTTCTCAACCTTCCTAATGCCCGACCCTTCAATCCAGTTCCTCAAGTTGTGGTGACCCCCAATTTCATTGTTACAAATTGAACATAATTAAAGCATAGTGATTAATCACAAAACAATACGTAATTCTGTGTGTGTTTTCCGATGGTCTTAGGCGACCCCTGTGAAAGGGTCGCGACCCACAGGTTGAGAACCGCTGCATTAGAGGGAGAGTCAGAAGAACAGGAGTTTATATCTGCAAAATTCATTTCACCTTCCTGAATGTTTGTTTCTTCCTTTGTGAAGTGGACATTGCACCTATAGTCCTGCCCCCACCTCACAGGTTGGTTGTAGGCAGTACCTGAAATAATGCAAGCAGAAGTGCGTGGGGCATTGGAAGTATGATACAAATGTCAGGAATTGTTGTGGTTACAGGATGCAGTCATCTGAGCGTGAGGGGTGTGGGCCCGAGGCCAGCCCCAGCGTGATGCCTGAGGCTCCTCTGGAGACTCCACCTGCTCCTGCCAAGTCCCCTGCCAAGTCCCCGACGTTTGATCTTTTCAACTTGGTTCTGTCCTACAAGAGGCTGGAGATCTACCTGGAACCCCTGAAGGACGCAGGTGATGGTGTCCGGTACTTGCTCAGGTACAGACTTGGTAGAGTTGCTCTGACCTGCTGGCTTCCTGTCTTCCTGCTCTGTAGTTGTGCTGGCCGTTTAGGCAGTGGCTGGGCTGTCCTTTCTGCCCTAGTGAAGGGCCATTGGGCCTCTGGGCTTGTTCCAGGCCCACTCTGTCTCAGGCCCAGCCCAGGAGAGGCCGGCACTGGGAACCATCTGGCCATTCACTAGGGTTTGTTCTTTGTGGTTGAATAAGCTCATACCCTAGGATTGTGAGCGAACCTTGAATATTGGGCCTTCTGTATCTAAAGTAGGCTTTCCTCCCTGCAATAATACCCTAGTTAGTAATAAAATTAGAATATAATTTTGAACCTAAGTTAAAGAAATACAAATACCTATGAATAAGCAGGTATCATTTTCCCTAATCCTTTAGGATTATAGATCTCAATTTTTTTTCTTCTTATTCTGCTTTGATTTTCATCCTATATAATTGTCTTTTTCTCCTTTCAGCTAATTCTATAAGAAATATTTCATTTTTTAGATTTTCGTTTTTTAAAAATATGTTTTTATTGATTTTAGAGCGAGGAAAGGAGAGGGGGAGAGAGATAGAAACATCAGTGATGAGAGACAATCATTGATTGGCTGCTTCCTGCACACCCCCTCCTGGGGATTGAGCCTGAAACCCAAGCATGTGTCTTGACCAGGAATCTAATTGTTACCTGGTTCATAGGTCAATGTTCAACCACTGAGCCATACCGGCCAGGCATAAATGTATTTTAAATTACAGATATGTGCCATTTCACTCTCTAAATACTTCTGTTTGTCTCTAAATAAGGACTTTTTTTTTTCATAATCAAAGTCACATCATAGCTAACAAAATTAACAATAATTCTACGATATCTTCCTATACCCAATTCTTATTCAGATTTCCTCAGTTGTTCCAAGGATGTCATTTACAATTTTTGGACCAAATCAGGTTCTAGTCCAGACTATACATTCTCTGTGGTTACTATGTCTCTTGTCTTTCTCAATCTTCTTTTATGACACTAACTTGCTGGAGAGACTTGGCTCACTGTTCTGGGGAACTTCCTACACAGATATGTCTGGTTACTTCCTCATGGTGCAAACTGCAAGGTAGATATAAAGGATTAGATTTAAATAAAAAAAATTGTTTACAAAACTCCTGTGTTCTTAATATTGCACCTCAGTGGGAGTACATAAACAGCAGGCATTCTTACCCTGGAACCTGTGAAGTGGGCTTTAGGGGCATATGAAGCTCCTGAAACGGAATGAAAAATTATATGTGGACATGTGTGTTTTTCTAGGGAGAAGCTTCTAATTTTATTAGATTCTCATAAAGGATCTTTAACCCTCTAAGATGTTCAAGAGAGATAGGTAGGAGGCAGAGTGAGTTGAGTTGGGTTAACCTCTAAGTGTGCTGTGAGCAATCATTCTTACCTCAGTGTGGAAATAGTGGGAGATTCATTTTTAACTTTTGTACCAAGGCCCTTATTTTTCTTATTCTTCCCAGAACCCCTTTAATTTGTGGCATTATCTCTGGAGATGAGCCAGTCAATGTTCCAGGGCAATGTTCTCTACTGTTAGATCACTCTACTCTTGGTGAAAGGGACAGTGAGATAGTATGAGGAGGGGCTCATTTTATAGTCATGGTGGGACCAACTGTCTGAAATGAACGTCAGTCTTCCCTAGGGGAGAGGGTGGGCTCTGGAGAGCATGGAGCTGTGCTCTCGTGTTTTCTACTATGTGTGTGGGTGCATGTATGAGTGTAGATATATGTACGTATGTATATATATGTATGTGTTTTGCCCTTTTTTGGCCCTTCATTTCTGCCTCTGGCCTATTAGTATTCTTAGCACTAACGTATTAGAAGTTTTCCCTTTATGAAATTAGAAATCTGAGGATGTGGTCCTAGCTGGTTTGGCTCAGTGGATAGAGCGTAGGCCTGCAGACTGAGGGGTTCCAGGTTCAGTTTTGGTCAATGGCACATGTCCGGTTGTGGGCTCGATTTCCAGGAGGGGCGTGCAAGAGGGAGGCCA